CCTCTTTTTTTTTTTTTTAATTTTTCCCCTAAAAATCCCCCCCAGTTTCCCGACCAGGAAAAGACAAGCTCAAGGCCTTTCCGGCACCGGGCCCCTGGGGGAGTTAGGGCAAAAGCAGAAAAAACTCGCGGGCAACCAATTCCAGGGGCCCCCGGCCGAACCAGGGGATTTTCCCCGGACACCTGGGGCTGGCGCCCCCGAGAGCAATGCCGACGACACCATCTGTGACTAAAGAAAGGTTTCGCAGGTTGATCCTGAATTCCTAAAAGAGGCCGGGAGGGGGCAGGGTGACGACGGGGTCTCAGGACGATGCTACAGATGGAAGTAGACTGCACCCAGCTTGCAGGCGTCACCTGACCGAGGCCAGACTACACCAGGGCAACAGCTCCTCAGGCCCCTGGCCGTGGCAGCAGCGGGCTTCTTTGAGAGAAAGGAATTTGCACACAGTATCCAAACTGCTTCTAAGTCCTTAGAGTATTTTCTTAGAAAATGGTATAATAACCTTCAGTTTAATAGAACAATCTTTTAAAATTATTCTCCATGCCTTTTTATAGCGAGTTACAACCTTCTGTGATCTCTAAATGTGGGAAAACCCTCTTCTCAATCCACAAAATCCCGTCCGGCCAGAGCGCCAGGCCCGGGCCCTCACCTGGCGTCCTGCAGGCAGGGGGAGAGCGCGATCATGATGGAGCAGTCCTTTGCCGTCATGGCCACCCGGTACTGCTGCACCTGCGGGCAAGGAGAGGTCAGCTGGCACCTCCTCTGGGAGTCTGGGAACCAGCCCCGGAGCTTGGGGGGAGGAAGCTGCAGGGGTGACCAGAGGAGTGGCAGCGTGAGGGTGCACCTTCTTCTCCCCCTGAAATTTCAACAAGTTACCCAACTGTAAGTCAACCGAGAAACCCTGCTCAACACAGACACACGCCTGAGACCCGCCACCGAAACAGCTTCAGGTGGGCAGCCGGGAGGCACGGGAGGCCAGAGGGGAGGAAAGCCCAGGTGGCCCGGCTGGGAGAGGGAGGAACAGAGAGCTGCTGGGGGTGGGGAAGGGCAGCCCAGCAGGGCGAGTGGCGAGGAAACAAACAGGGACGGAGCCAGCAGACGCCTGGCAGAGCAAGGCTTCTGCCCTGCGGCTTCCCACGTCGGGCCAGCAGTGGGGTTTCAGACAGAGAAACAGAACCAGAGCCCTGCCGCCGCTTGGACTCCACAAACTCGCCTCCCGTGGCCCTTGGCACCGGGTCCAGGAGCGTATGATCTGGAAGCCAAGAGCTGCTGCAGTAGAACTGGTTTCCATCTGTGACTGCTTCCCAAGAGGGGTACTTGGGGGGGACCCCACGGAGGTCAGGGGTGGCCATTACAGTGAGGGCAAAACAAACCCTACCCCCAAGCAGCAGAGCGGTACCATCTTAGGGAAGCCTCGGAGGCTCACCTCCGGGAGACCAGAGGTAAAAAACCTTGCGATGCAGCGCCATCTACTGGAAAAGAGTAGCAAGACCTCCGCAAACACCAGGGAGAACCACAGCAAGAGGGACCAGGATGGAAGTGGCAGGCCAAGCCTGCCCTCGCCCCTCCAGCGGGGTTTGGACCCTGATTCCGAACCCGGGATTCGTCTTCAGCGAGGCAGCCACAGGCCTTAGAAGAAAGAGCGGTAGGTGGCCTCAGCGCCTGCTGTGCCGGCCACTGACATCCCTCCAACCTCAGGAGGGAGTGCAGCGTCCCCCACGGGCAGCCTGTCAGCAGGACAGGCCTCGGGCCCTCTCACCCCGCAGGCTGTGCAGACCCCTGGCAGGATGCTGCAGACAGGGTCTCCAAGCTGCGTTCCGTCACGCCAGCCCCACGGGAGGCAGGCTCGGGTCTTGGATGGATGCAGACACAAAGCCCGGCTGGGCGATGACAGGGCCCTACGACACCAGCCTCGGCTCTGCAGCTTAAGCTCAACACCGGCTGCAGCACACGTGGATGTGTGCGCACCGGCCGGGAACGCACCTGCAGGGCTGCCACGCAGACCACACGCACGAGGTGTGCAGGGTCTGACTTGTAAAGCCGCGTGTGCTCACGTGTGTTAAAGACACAGAGAGATCCCCAGAGAGGGCTGCCTCCAGGTGGACTTTGGGACATTCTGTCCCTTTTGAACTTTCCTATATCATTTGAATGTTTAGTTTGAATAGCTCTCACTTTTACAAAAATGAACTAGTTACAAAACATGAAGTGGGCCTTCCATGGTCTCACAGGCTGGTTTGTGGTGACAGACCTGTCCCGTTAGCCACTCCCCTGTCACTCGCCCAGAGGACCCACCCTGAGAAACCTCCCCGGTCTACCTGCCCAAGCCAGGCTGTGCGGGCACGCAGGCCTACTGACTGCCGGTCCGGGCCTGCGGAAACCTAGAGTTTACAAGTAGAATGAAAAAGGAGCTCCTCTCCTGACACTATTCATTTCGCTAAGAAATGGGTATTTCACAAAGTACATAACAAATGACGTCCAAAGAATTCCTAAGAGATACGTATGAAAAACAAAGTACAAAATATTTAGCATGTCCTGATCTAGAAGACATAAAACTCAGAAGCCATAAAAGACTAAAAGATTTGAATACCTAAAAATTAAAATATTTTATATGATCTAGTCATAATGAATGTAAAAGACCCATGAAAGAATGGGAGAAAATATTTGCAACATATAACAGGTGATCAACATCAAGAATATAAAAAGTGCTAGTTCAATATGGAAAAAGAAAAGAACCCCAAAAAGATGGGGACCAAATAAATTGAAAAAGAAATATAGCCAAAAAATACCTGAAAACTTGTTAAACCTTATTAATAATCAAGGAAATGCAAATTATAACAGTGAAATAGTTTTTACTCATCAGATGGACAAAACTATAAATATGTATGTATACTAGTATCTGACATAGAATGAGAGGGCTGGGCTTACCCTTCGAGTACTGCTGGACTGTAACTGGCGCCAACCACTGAGGTCAACTAGAAAAAGCTGGACAAAATATCAAAAACATCTGCTTTGAAAGGCCAGGGAGGGAGAAGTGTGGGACCAGGGACACAAAGACATTTGGGTCTTTTCTGCCCAGGAAGGGGCGCAGTGACAATTTGGGAAGATTGGCCAACGGGCACTTTTAACCAACCTCCAGGGCTCTGGGGACAATAAGCATGATGAACCCCCTCTTTGAGTTAGTTTCCAAAATGCTGCATCTTTTATCCTATCCAATAAAAGAGTAATATGCAAATTAACCAGCACTCCACAACAAAGATGGTGCCCACAGCCAATAAGGAGAAAATATGCAAATTGAGGGTCACTTCATGACAAAGATGGCGGCGGCCGGGCCAGGATGCTTGCCATGGCGACGATGCAGGCATTCCGCCCCGCCTGCGGAGGGCCTGTGGGCAGCATGCAGGCGCCCCGGCCGCTCTGGGCCGGTGGGAAGCGTGCTCCGGGCCGGTAGGCAGCGTGCGCAGGCGAGGAGAGTCTGGCCCCGGCTGCTCTGGGCTGGTGGGCAGCGCATGTGCAGAGGTAAATTAGACTGCATTCGAGTGTGGGTGACAGTGCGCTGGGGAACGTTCGCACGCCAGGGGAGGAGGAGAGGATGTGCGTGTGGAGAGCCTCTGAGCGGGGGAGGCGGGCCGGCAGAGGGCGGCCTATACTCCCCACATGGCAGTGGCGGGAGCCGTGAGCGTGCCAAGTGGAGCCTGCAGGCCGAGCTGAAGTAGGGCCCTGCAGGCCATCCAGCGCCGAGGAAGTGGCTGCACAAGTCCCACCCCCTGGCCCAGAAAGGTGCGCGATCGCAGGGACAGCCACCGTACTTAGCGGGCCCAGATTGCCACCCCTGCTGGCCGTGCCATGGGTGTTTGTGGATCTTCGAACCCACAGGCCTCCGGTGCGCACATCCTCTCCTCCCCCCTGGTGTGCGAACGTCCCCCAGTGCACTGTCACCCACGCGCACCTGCAACAGTCCTGAATGTGGCGCGCAAGTTCCCCCCGCCCCTCTGCCGCACTTCCATCAAACCCAGCATGCCTACATTCCCCACAGGACGTGCACACGTCCCCTCCGGCACGCTCATGTCCTTTGGAGAGAGTCTGGGTGTTCTGGGTGCTTGGGGTGGGCGCCTGTGAGATGACAGTGAGAGGGCAGAGTGGTGATGCCCTGTTCCCACGGAGGCCAGTGCAGCGACAAGATCACCTCTGGGGGGTTAATGCAGGTACTGAGGCGAGAGCAGATGCAGATAGACACACCTGGTGGGTGCAGGCGGCCCTAGCTGAGGTGCCCTCAGTCAGCGTTCAAGATTAAGAGCCCAGAGGAGACGAGGAGTTCCGTCCTCTCAGTGACACGGCAGAAGAGTCGGGGCGACTGCAGAGGAGGAACGTGCACTTTGGGTGCCGGCGCCCATGAGCGAAGGCTGCCCTGACGGAGCCTCGCTCCCGTGGGACCTAGCGCACTCCTGCCGGGCAGCGGGTGACAGGACGTGCTTTTCCAAGTTAATGAGAGAAAACATTGATTCTCCCGCTGCCCGCGAAGGTGGAAAGTGAAGTGGGGAGACATGGGGGGAGTGAGCGAGGTTCCCTGTCTGGGGGTTCCAAATCTGCCGTTGGTTCTTTTCACCGCTGACTAGAGATATACAGGGTGTCCCCCCAAAATGTATACACACTTTGAATACCTACTAATTCCAATGGGTTTAAGCATGAAAAGAAAGAAACAACAATGGAACTGTCATCTGTTAAAAGTTTGGGCACAAACCGGCAGTCGGACATTCCCCAAGGGGTCCCGGATTGGAGAGGGTGCAGGCCAGACTGAGGAGCCCCCTTAGCCCCCCCAGGCCTCTAGTATATATATATATCTCCTATATAATAAAGAGGGACTATGAACATTGACCGTCACTCCACCACAAAGATGCCTCCCACAGCGGAGTGGGGGTTTCCGTAACACAAGATGGCTGCACCGACAGGGGAGGCCGAGTTCCCATAACGAGCCTTAACGAGCAATCAGCTGGGACCTGAGGCTGCGCCCTCTGCCTGGCGGAAC